TTTTTTTTTTTTTAGTAGAGATGGGGTCTCACTCTTGCTCAGGTTGGTCTCGAACTTCTGAACTCAAGCAATCTACATACCTCAGCCTCCCAGAGTGCTAGGATTACAGGTCTGAGCCCCCACATCTGGCATTATAGAAAATTTTAAGAGTGACATTATTCAATACAGTAGCCAATAGCCACATATGGCTATTGAAATTTGAATTATTTTTATTTTTAAAAAAATTCAGATTAATATATGGGCACAAATGATTAGGTTACTCTTTTTTTGCATTTGTTAGGTAAAGTCCAAGTTGTAGTTGAGCCCGTCACCCAGGAGGTGTATCATATATTCCTACCTTATACCTGTTAGGTGAGAACTTACCAAACCACCTCCCTCCTTCCCTCTCCTTCCTCTGTCCTCTCCCTACGTCTCTAGAATTTAATTGTGTTTTTCTCTTGTGTGGGCCTGTGCTTGCTCATCTACTGGTTTCATACTGAGTACATTGGATGCTTGGTTTTCCATTCTTGTTATACTTTACTTAGGAGGATGTTCTCTAAATCCTTCCAGGTTAATACAAAAGATGTAAAGTCTCTATTATGGATGAATAGTATTCCATAGTATACATATACCATAGTCTTTTACTTATCCAATTCATGAGCTGATGGGCACTTGGGTTGTTTCCACATCTTGGTGATTGTGAATTGAGCTGTGATAAACAATTTAGTGCAAATGTTCTTATGGTAAATGCTTTTTTTTCTTCTGGATAGATAGTAATGGGATTATTGGATTAAATGAAAGGTCTACTTTTAATTATCTGAGGACTCTCCATACTTCTTTCCAAACATGCTGTGTTAGTTTGCAATCCCACCAATAGCATATAAGTGTTCCCTTCTTTCTGCACCCACACCAGCATCTGCAACTTTGGGACTTTGTGAAGTGGGCTATTCTCACTGGAGTTAGGTGATTATCTCCAGGTGGTTTTGATTTGCATGAAATTTGAATTTAAATCAATTAAATTTTAGGCCAGGTGTGATGGCTCATGCCTAAAATGCTAGCACTTTGGGAGGCTGCAGTGGAACAATCACAGGAGGCCATAAGTTTGAGACCAGCCTGAGCAACATAGTGAGAACCTCTCTCTACAAAAAATTGAAAGATTATTTGGGCAGGGTGAGTGTCTCTAGTCCCAGCTACTCAAGAGGCTGAGACAGAAGGATTGCTTGAGCCCAGGAATCTGAGGTTCTGGTGAGCTATGATGATGCCACTGCAGTCTAACTCAAACAAGAGAACAAGACTCTGTCTCAAAAAAAAAAAAGTGCAATTTAAAATTCAGTTCTTCAAGTGGACTGCCCAAATTCCAAGTGCTCAATAATGGATAGTACCTGCCATAGTGAACAGCACAGATACAGAACATTTCTATTATAGCAAAATGTTTTATTGTGCAGAGATGTTTTAGATGATTACAAAGATATCTCAAAGGAGCTCAATACTATGATCTAGATTTGATGGAATAATCTGAGTTTACTCCCATTTATGGAAGTGGCCAGGAAAAATTTGGTTCAAAATCTGTAACATTGTCAACAATCTCCAAGATGCCAAGGAAATGTGTCTTTCTTATTCTACAATAGGCAGACCATTTAGTTAAGAGAGAGGAATAGCATAACTCCCAACAACATGCCCCTAAGATTAAGAGATTCTTGACACCTAAACTCTAATCCAAAATTTAGTTAAGCACTTTAGAGGATCTATATCTTGGGCAAAGCTGGTAAAATGGGCAGATAGAACAACCCAGAGGAGACGTTGCCCTTACCCAGGGAGGCCAGATTCCTATAATTCTCCAGCATCACATCCTTGTGCAGGCTCCTCTGTGTAGGGTCCATCAACCTCCACTCCTCCAATGTGAAGTCCACAGCCACATCTTTAAATGTCACCGATTCCTAAAATAATTACACTGTGATCACTCAGAGACTACACACAGTTAGACTTGTTAGGCAGAATAAGACATACAAAACTGGGGAAGAACTCCAGAAATCACAATCACCAAATGATTATATAGGTCAGCCAGTTAATCCTGTATGAGATGTATGAACTTCTCCAGTGACAAGAACTGAAAACCATGAAAGGAAGCTTATTCCATCTTCAGAGTATCACTTGTTAGCAGGAATTTTTAATAACCACATACGGCTGTCTATAAATATTGGCTGTACTGTATTATCTGGAGTCAACAGCATGGTTTCCTCTCTCCCTAGAAAGTATTTAAAATACTTGATAACAGCTAGCAGTCTCCACCCAAATCATCTTTCTTCCTTAAAATCCTCATTTATATAAAGTATCAATTTTATTTCAGTTCCAATCTATAGAATATGGCTTACTAAGAGATATAAGTCACCATTTTGATTGTGGATATAGAATTAAAAAAATAGAACAAGTTATACAAAATTTTTAATGGCTACTTATTAGAAGGAGGAGGAAACAGAGTAGAAAGGAGGGCTGCAACAAAGGCTCAGCTCCTTTGAATATTTGGTTTTGTAGATCTGACTTTTGAAACATAATGCTTCATATTATTATAAAATGAAAATTAAAAATTAAAAAAGCAACCCCTAAAAATTATATGTAAAATGAAACTAGTTGGTAGCATACCCATTCATCATAGAGGAATGATTTGAGTGACTTTAAAATATTTTAAATCCCTTATGAGATATACCCTGAGGAAAAAACTGTGAAACAAAAAACAAAAAACAAAACATTTTCAGTAAATAATTGTATTGGTTGTAGTGATAGAAATGCTGAAATGCTACTCTGCAGCTACCGTGTAGGTGTTGTTGGATAAAGCAAATTAGCATATTGATGTCATAAATTTGGCATGGGAGAAAGAAGATACAAATGTAATATTGATAAGATAAAGTTAAAAACTTCATAGTTCCAAAATCACCAACTATATGTGCAGTACCCACAAAACTTAAAAATATATTCTCAGTTTTAAAACTAGCCTCTTATATTCTTTGCTGAGAAAATAATATCAATAAGCCAGGTTGATGTAAAGGTTTCTTTTTAATAGAGTTTGAGAAAGTAAAAATTAGCTCAGACTAAGAAAGCAAAATTCTGCTTTTCCATACTTCAAGCTAGGATAAGAGACACAGATAAAACCAGCTGCAAAGTTGACAAAAATTAGTTATTTCTTCCAAGTTCATGTTGCAGCTGTGAAATGTCATAATGATCCCTTCTTTGAGTAACCAATGATTTGTTACTCACCAAGAAGCTGTTTTTTAAAATCACAGAAATTTTGCAGTTTGAAATCATACCAGTGTTAAACTATACCTCAAGAGACAGACAAAATGAACTTTCTGTGTTTAAAATGAGACATACCCTCCAAAACAGAATCTCAGGCCTAACAAGATGAAATTCATCAGACGTCTTGTTTTGCCACATACAAGAGCCAAATTCTACCTCATTTTAATGCTATTCCTCCACCCCAAAGTAAACATAAGATGTATGTTACTTACACATTTACCCACTACATCCGTGCCTGACTTCCATCATAAATATTCGTATTTCCCCAGAGCCCTGCTCAATATATACGTAACACTAACTCCATAGACACATGTCCCAGTTCCTTGTTCCCTTCTGCTGAGTGTACACTTTTGGTTTTCCCCCAAAGTTGTGTTTGTTTTCTCCTCTTAAAATTAAGTCTCTCCCTCTTTAGAGCTCATGGTCTTTTACTAACACAAGAGAGAATGTTAAGTGACTTCATTGCACAGAAGTGGTCTTGATTTCTGATCCAGGTGCAGAATTTCACATGAAGAGCTTCTGAATGCACTATTTTACCTTTATCTTAACTTTATATTTTCCAAGTAAGCAGAACCCCAAGTCCACTTTGCAGTCAGGACATGCTGTTGATACCTTCGCATACAGCCCACTTTGTTTTAAGCCTATCAACCAATGATTTCATTAAAATTTCATATGAATTTCACCCTTCCTAAGAAATTATGTAATAATCCTATCTCCTTCTTTGTCCTTTACTGCAGTGGCAATGAGCCCTTAATACTGAAAAGGTCAGCCCAGTGATCTTTGTTTAATTGAATAGGACCATACATTAATTTTTATATCATTATAAAATTATAAACAAATCATTTAATGTTAAAGGCTTATAATCGCCTCTTCATCTTGCGGCTATATGTATCTTGTTCTTTTTATGAAATTAAGTTGCAACACTTGCTGGCTCCGTGATACTGTCTATGACTTCATTGGTTTTAGTTTGTGACATCACTAGTATATAAATATCTTAACCTTATCTATTAGAAAGTATCAAGACTGTTTTGATGTGTTCCTTTTGGTCTAATTATAATCATGCATATAAAAGTTCTTCATCAGTCTTCCATAGTTTCTTTGTTAGATGTTTAAACTATTAATAGAAAACGTGTACCTAGAAAACAAAGGACATTTGCCAATGAAATTTCTTCTTTTGAAGAACTGTGCTAGGAAAATAAACCTTTAAAAATATAGACAAAAGCCACACTATACACAAAACAAAAATGATAAAATTAAATTAATGATTTGTCAATAGTTATTATCAAAATGTTGACTCTATTAAAATTAAACAAAGCTAAGTTCAATACTTATAAAAAGGATGTAGAATTTAAGGAAAAGTCAGACAAAATTAATCTTCTTCCAGGGAAGATTCCTCTGTCAGAAAAATAATAATCATATGAATTATTCACCATGTCAGAAAGTATTATATTTTCCTGAGGTTCATTATTTACAGTGTAAAACTATGAATATTTTTACCTTAAGATTTTAAAGTCTATGCTATGCTGTTAGATGTTAAAGGAAAATTAAAAAGAAATCACTGGTCCAGTACTACATTTTGAAAATTTTATATATTAAGACAGAATCCCAGAATGTATTTTTTTCATAGAAACAAAAAGAAAAATCCCATTTACGCAAAACATTTCTGGAATAAAAAAACAACTACCAAAATGCAACTTTCAAAAACTTAAAAAAAATAGTTCTCCTAAAAGCATAGTGAACAAAGATTTACTTAAATCATTTGTGACAGACCAGCAGCTCGAAAGAACTGGTTCTAAGAAGATGCAAGAAACAGATGTATTGAAAATGGAAAAAAAGGAATGCTGGAATAAGATTACAATATTAGCCACAAAGCCGGTTTATGTCCCACAAGACAATAATGCCATAACTTTGGGTGTCTTTTCTTTTAGGTAGAAATAATTTGGAACTTTTCAATCTTTTATAAGTTAACAACTAACTTTGAGGGTTTGAATATTAATCAATAGCGAATGTAAGTCAAACAATGCAATCTTCCTCTGCTATTTCAGATACCCTAAAACAGGTTTGTCAGACCATGGTCTAATAGGACAATGAAAGCACATACATTTGTCTTCTGCCTTATTTCTAAGTTTTGAAAATTTTTCTTAACATGATACCTTTTTTTTTTTTTTTTTTTGCAGTTTTTGGCTGGGGCCGGGTTTGAACCTGCCACCTCTGGTATATGGGACCAGTGCCCTACTCCTTTGAGCCACAGGTGCCACCCAACATGATACATTTTTAATTTTTATTTTTTTCTGGAGAAATCACATGGATTCTGTACTCCAAAATAAGAAAGTAAGCTTAACAAATATAATGAGATAATTATATAAACTAAATGTGTCTTAAGACTATATCCACCAATGTTAACGTATTTGATATACATTTTTAATTTTTTTTATTTTTTGCAGTTTTTGGCCAGGCTGGGTTTGAACCCACCACCTCCAGTATATGGGGCTGGCGCCCTACTCCTTTGAGCTACAGGTGCCACTCCTGTATTTGATATTTTTAATAATATAGTACTAGGTCTTACAGTGCGAAGCAAGAATCAGATTGTGATTGTAGGTATCATCAGCAATTATGATGTGACTATCTGCCAGATTAGGGCTGCCGCCTCTGAGAGAGATGAAATCTCTTAAATTGATACCATAAACCTTGGAACTACCATACCTATCAAATACTACTTGTTACTTGTGAACTTACAATTCACTGGGAACATTAAGAATTAGAGGCAGTGGCGGTGCCTGTGGTTCAAAAGGGTAGGGTGCTGGCCCCATATGCTGGAGGTGGCAGGTTCAAACCCAGCCCTGGCCAAAAAAAAAAAAGAATTAGAGGCAGTAAAAAGGCATTTTCTCTTTATTCCTCTTATATATAAGAGGTGAGTATTACCTTTGTTTCTTCTATATGAAGGTGAAGATCTTCATTTGGCTGGGTAACTTCATGACTCTAAAGGGACACAGGATAAGATCACTCAGTGACAGGTTACCTATAACCTGAAACAGAGACTCAACAAGCATCACCAATCCACATGGGTGTGGTGTATATGGGATGCCCTCCTTTACAAAGGACTAAAATTAAGGTCCCATTGTAACATTCAATTATAATCTTCTTTCTCCTTGTTTGAGACAAAGACAAACACACCATGATTGAACAAGATAAAACTGCATAATTTTAAAAAAACTTTATTTCAGATTATTTCAGGGGTGTACACATTTTAGTTACACAATATGCTTTTGTACATTTTAAGTTAAAGTTATAAGTATGGCCTTCACCAATTTACCCTACCTTCCATCCCCCCACCCCTTAATTTCCTTTGAGTTTTACTTCTATATATATATATCTATATATACATAAGTATTGATCAACTATTTCCAATTTAGTATTGAGCACATGTGATGCTTGTTTTTCCATTCTTGGGATGCTCCACTTAGAAGAATGGCCTCCAGTTCTATCTGGGTTGTTAAAAAAGATACTAAATCACTATCCCTTTTATGGCTGAATAGTAACTCCATAATTTTAAAGGCAGCTTTTAACAAAGAGCCTATAAAAACAAAAGTAAATTTATAATAAAAGGCCTTCAGACACTCCATAATTCTGCTTTTTTCATATGGGGATGAAATCTATTTCTCA